TGTAGAACAAACGGCTTCTGTTTGAGGTTGGTAAAATAAGGTCATCCTTGTAACTTAGAGAGATATTTTATTATGTAGGTAGGAACTGTATGCATCGCTAAGGTTAATTTAAATCCGCTATGCTCAAGTATGTAGACAAGCTAACGTCGAAGTAGTGTATGTGAAATCAACCTCACAATAAGATGTGTGTATATTACAATTATTAATGTCATATTTCAAGATGATAACTTAGATATTACAATATGGTTGGTTGAGCTGGAGTTCATTATTGAGCTTACACATTAACGTCAGTCATATCTGAAGAACCCCAAATCTTGTTGTTTTTATTAATTGTATTACCAAATTGGTATCAAATGAACAGTAAGCATTGGTAACACAACTTCCAAAGTTACAGTAAAATAAAAAGGACCCTGACTCGGACAATACACAATCCAACATGTTCAACAGAAGAGAATAAGTTATATTGTTTGTACACATGGTTCTTTACATATATATCTGTTTGTTTAAAGTGTCCAGGTGATGCAGACAGGCTAGACCAGAGAGTGAGAGACAGAACTGGACTCCTCACAGCAGTGAACTTCAGCACAGGTACAAATACTCTTTTTTCATACTGTACAAAGAATCAAGAAAGATATTGGTTTAAATAAATGAAGTATTGACTTTAATACACTGATATACATACCATTAAACAATACTAAATACTAGATCACCTACACATCAGTGAAGTTGAGGGGTTTTTCCATGCAAAGGGTTACATGTTAACAAGCAATATTACTTTGTCAGCTTTCTAATTTAAGGTATTGAAGGCAAAGATATTTAACACATAGTGAGAACTGCTACTATTTATCTCTCAATATTGTCTGTAAAAAACGTGGTAAAAGTTATTATTTCAGTGAGAGAACAGAGCAAGCTTCTACAGTTGCACTAAGTTTTGATAACAGTTAAATATTATTTTGATAATAAAATATATTTCAATGTTGATGAATGTCATACTGTTCATTCATAATCTGATTGTCTTTGTAGCTCACTGTTGAAATAAAATAAAACATTACAATTACAAAATAATTATATCTACAGCCCCTAAACACAAACACACCTCTTTCATAAATAACACACTTGTTCTGCAATAATATGTTTTATGTTTCCTGTAATTTTTGTTAGGAAAGGACATGCCTGAAAGACACGATTCAACATTTTCTCCTTCTCTGAGGGTCAAGAAGAACATCCAAGAGGAAAATTAAAAGCTGATGAGATTTTAAGACCAGTACAGGACATTCACTAAGAAACTACTTTTATTGTGAAAACAAAGTCAGCTGATCGAATGCACCTATTTCCACATCTACACTCCATCAGCTGATTAATTCTATTTGCCTCACTTCATGAGCTTCACAACATCTGTACCTTGTACCGCAGAGTTTGCAACGTCACAAATAAATGGGGCCAATCTTCAGTCAGATGTGAATGTGTAATCTAACATTTTCAGTAAGAATAATGGACAAAAGGAGTGCAAATACAAATACAATTTATTGAAATGTGAACCAAAAGTTCATCAAAAATGTTTTAAATAAAAAGCACATATGGACAGAAGGTGTAAACCTATTAAATGTATAAGTAAACACATTTAGTCAAATAAAGTGACAGACTAGGCCTGTGCAGTTGGTATCAGCTATGCCCAGCATGGGCTCCTCCATCAGGCCTGGTCCTCCTCGCTGAGGAAAGACCCTCAGTCCTCTCCGGCCAAACCAACAGACAGGACGTCCATCACACAGAGGTTTCTCCCTGAAGTCTCTGCAGCTCTCTGGACACCACGCTGTCTCAATCCGTCCACACTGAATATGAGAGGGGGAAAATGAAAATAATAAATGCTTTAGACAATAATAAATATAAAAGTGAACCGTTGAGTTGCTCAGTTTTTTTTTAGATTGTCAATACTATTACTGTATAACTAATATCCCAGGTTAAGAGGCACCTTCAAATAAAGATTGGTCTTTAAATACATTTTGTCTTTTGAATTGTTTGTCTAAAGTCAAGGATCTAGAACTGGTACTTCTAGTTTTAATGATACAGTCTGGTTATAATGCTGTTTGGAGGAGGCCTCACAGGTAAGAGCACTAACTAGCTACCATCACATGTACCTTAGCTTGACTTAAATTGATTAAACGTATAATTAAGTTATGGCAAAATATAAATAACTAATGTCATGCAAACATATTCATATTTGCTTGATTCCAGTGTTTAATTTAGCACAATTGCATACAAACGTCAAGGGATTTTAAGATTCTGAAGTCTTCGTTCTAAATAGAAAATAGCATGGATAATTTACAAAGGCTTTAAAAACACATCAGGAGCAAGACAATTATAAAACTTGTCATTATTTCAGTACAGTTCAATTGGTTTTATTTTCATAAACGGTTATCAACCGTTAGTGCCAAAGCAGTAGGCTATAATATATTAATTACTGCTGTATAGACTACAACCACTACTTGTTTAGCTAGCATAAACTCAACAAAGCTAGCATTAGCTGGCTAACTGACGTTATTTTGCCGCTAAACTGCACAATATAAAACAGTGGTCTTCATAGCGGATTTAATCCTCAATCACAATAATAATATTCAAAGTAATACTGGGGAAGTAATGGGCAAAACTTACCGTTGATTGACGCGCCATGTCAGCGGACTGGTAGCGACACGGACCGTTAGCCCCGCAGTCATCTGGTTCGACCTGACTGAGTGACTGACCCGAGCCCCTTCGCTCCAACCCCCCTCCCTCCCCCCACATCTACAGGTGAAAATTACTTTTGCGACACATTCATCGCAAGAAGTGTAGCAAAAGTCAAAGCCGCAGATTTGTCGATTTATACTGCCACAGAGCAGATTCGTGAAGTTGTAATGACTGATTTGAGAGGTTGTAATAACCAAGTTGTAATGGAAAATATATTTAAAAAATATATATTTTTCTGCAAGTGAACATTTCATCACTCAGTTCATTTTTTTTCTACAAGCTACAAAACTTTTTTTTTTATTCTGTGACTTCAAATTTGGTTCACAGATACATGGATATTTTATACAAGTGTAAATGTATGCACACAAGCTCAGATTTTTTTCTGCAAGTGCTCACATCAGGTTTTACACGCTCTCGCATTTTGCACCATATCTACCTTCATATTTGCCGTCATACAACAGTCGGCCGTTCACGGAAACAACCGATTATGAACGAGAAATGATATCATGAAAGTTACGGTGCTTATTAAGCTTTTTAAAACGTATGTGGTAAGTTGCCAAAGTGCTTTGTTTTGAACGTTCATCAGTATTATAATCAAAAAGAGAAATATGAACGTTAGTTTTTACTGAAATGATCAAATAAAGTCAACATTTCACAGTCTTTACTGAGCTGTGTGGGGTTTGTTCAACTTTTAAAAAGATGTTTGAATGGTGATATACACAGTGATAGATGTTAAGGACTAACGTTTATAATAAATACATTTGTATTGATTTTAAGATCTTTTCATAGTTCATACAATCATACGTATTGGGATCATTTGTATTAATGTGGACCGGAGGGAGAGGGTGACGAGCATAAGTTTCACTTTCCTTTTTTATTTCAATTCCAACTTTGGTCATGAAGAATATGTTTCTCTGTTGTCCCCGTTCATAAAGCATAAAACAACAGCATCAGAGCACGGTGTAGAGTCTCTAGAGTCTAGATGAGTTTACAGTAGTCCCTCGTTCTTATTAAACATCCATGTTGTAGTCCGCTGTATAGAAAACTGTAGTTTCCATAGTTTCCCCACAGCAGCAGGCGCACATTTATGACCTCCGCTGGCGCATCATAAACACGTCGGATAGTGAAAGTGCAGTCGGATTCTCTAAAGTACCGCAGTCTCTTCTCCTAAGTCCTTTTGAATTCTCCTATCCACTATCCCTTAACCCCGTGACGTTTCACTCAGAGGTCAAGGAATAGACGATAGGGTTAGAATTTAGGAGCTGATTTTTGGACTATCCGACCGCAACCCCAGTCTCTGATAGTGTTACGTTATTATGAGAATGCTCTCATACTTGTTTGATTCTAAAATTGTATATATATATAAATATATATGTGTGTGTATATGTCCGCATCTGTAGCCTGTTATTGTCTCATTATACCGCACTGTCAATTCATTAAAAGTGAATATATAAGTTGTCATGAACACAGTTCTGCCCATCAGAGTGCTGCTGTGCCTCCTGTCATCATTAATGGACGTCTTTTTAAAATGACCGCTCAGAGGAGAGGATTTCTCATTTCTCTAAACGCCTGCTGCTTCCACTCCTCTCTCATCGGTTTCCCTTGAGGAGGGGAAATTATATAAATGGGAAAGGTCTTGAATGTACACAATGGTAAATATCCTGGGGGATGATGAGACTGTGAGGTCTTTGCTCAGCCTCTTGTTGTTTTGTGTTTCTTTGTTATTGTTACTCATTGCTTTTTTTGTGTCACTTTGTTATTGATTTTTGTCTTTTTGTATTTTTTGTTGGTGGTTGCACTTCCTATTTTTGTAGTTCTGTGTCTCTATCTGATCATATTGAGTAAACAAAACCTGAAAGAATGTAATTACCTGTCTCAGAATAGGACACACTCACACACATGATTCAATCACTCCACATAATCCATTGGACTATGCACGCACTGTTTGTTATAAACTGGATAATGTCAGAAATGTACTAATAGACTGCAGGAATAAGGTAATTAATGTCCCGATTAATTGATTAAAAACGCAGTTTTAGGCCACATTTGGGAATTTGCTAGACAAGACAGTAAATTAGTTTAATGAATATATCACAGCAACCAAAATACAAGTTCAAATGTACTTGAACTAAAATGTACTTTAAAATGATTATTATTAATGAATTGCTCTCTTTTCATTGTGTTCTGCCAATCTACTACTGCACGCTACGGAAGGTGGCGGCAACGCACCGAATCGTTGTTTGCCAATCTGTAAGAAGAAGTAGAAGAAGAAGTAGAAGTTCAGTGTTTATCCGTCATACAGCGACAATCAAGTCACATTATCTCCACCGACTGCACATACCCGGACCGGATAAATGGTCCACATTATGGTAATGTCTTCCCATCAGACTACAGTTTGAGTTCGTTGTCACATCTGGATTAAGCAGCCTGATCTCATGCAAGACTACATTAACCAGAAGTCTACGCTCTTACGTCGAAAAGTAAGAGGTCAAACAGACAGCGCCCGTGCTTCACTTGTTAGGTAAGTGTTCTTCCTGACAGATGCATGTCTGTAACAATCTGACTTTGCCTCTATTAACATTAGGTGACAGCCCCCAAACAGCGGCACTCTGTTCCCGGGCAGTGTCAGTGAGGGGAGGCTTCAGAGCACTGATCCGTCATTAGCAGTAGAGTGGTAGCGCTATTCATGTCCAAACAGCTGATAGTGCCTCTGTCGCACAATAGCGCAACCCAGAGCCGTATAATCTATATGGCGCTGGCGCAACCTAACCCCCTCCCCAGTCTCTGACGTGCATCTTCGTTTACCTTACTCACTTTTCCTTGGGTCTTAGTCCCTTCCACGTGTGAAAAGACGCAAGGAAACCGAGCTAAGCGAGAAAAACTGTTTTATGAGCAATGCATTTTTTATTTTGTATTTTTGTATTCATCTATTCAAGATCATGCATGAACATCCTACACTTTGCATACTAAAGTCCAAATCAGAGGCAGACATACAACACAACACAAAATCTATCAACGTAAATGGCGTTTTACTTTTTCCCCGTTATTCTTTAAAAAAACATTCTACCTCTTACCCGAAAATTCTATACATACATTCATAAAATAAATGGCAGATACTTTCTTCTTGTAGATTACAAAATTAACAGGAATATTCAATGTCAGGTCCAAATATTTTTTGCAGGATATATTGTGTGTCACATTTTTAAAAGAAACCCGTATGTACATTTGAGAAACCGGCTCGAGATCGCTAGAATTTGAAAATACACGACCGGAGAAAATCTGCCACTTCCTTACATAGTAAGGCTACATTAAATGTTATAATATTCATTGTGTCCTTTCTACTGTATATGCGTATATTCCTGTCTATTGCTTTCATTTGTATTTCATGTTATTATGTTTATACTTGTTTCCACACATTTCACAATTTGGGATGAATGAAGTATCTATCTATCTGTCTGTCTGTCTGTCTGTCTGTCTGTCTGTCTGTCTGTCTGTCTGTCTGTCTGTCTGTCTGTCCGTTGTTTTTATATATGTGAAATTCGTAATTTGAAAAATGATTGATTCGAAAATGATATGCTGCTACAGTACAGTACCTACAAGTAGCCTACTTCTGGGTGTTTCATTCAAGCTCGGCTCCGTGTGTGTCTGTGTGGCACGAGTGAGCGAGCCACACAGTATGAAAAAGTACATCTGTTTACAGTTCTGTTTCGTCATATACGAAACAGAACTGTACACAGATGTACTTTTTCTTTATGGATATTTTACTAATCACTCTCCTTTTTAAACTGTATTCTTGTTTTACTGTCATATAGTATTTCATACCATTTTTTCATTTATTCTCTTATTGTTTTATAGCCTATCTATAATGATCATATGAAGTGTGCCTCGGAAATAGTTGTTTACATAAATGGTAATCAAACTGTTTTGAGACCCACTGAGATAACTTAGGCGCCGTTTACACGAGGAGAAAACTGCTTGTATCTGCATAGTTTCGCGTGCGTATAGCCCTATTATTTACACGAGGCCGATAGAAACTGACCCTACAAACGATAACGGGTCCCAAGGTGGATAGATTTGCAAACGAAACGCTCTGGGGGGTCAACCGAGTCCGTGTAATCACCTCTATACGAATATTTCCTGAAAAAATAGCGAAAAAAAAAAAAATAGCACCTCTCCTGCTCATTGCTGTAGCAACTATCAAAAATAGCTGTGTTAATTAAACGCACAAGGGGTTCTTGAATGAAATAATATTATAAAAGGCAAACCAGAATAGTTAACGCCCAATATACTCCTTAAACAAAATAAACAGAGTCAGATTTCATGCATTGATCCATTATATTGACAAAGGAGGATCTCACCCGGTGTTTGTAGAGAATATCTCTCTTTTCTGAGCGCGTCCTCTCCACAGAGACGTGCTTCTTGGTCGGTCGATGCAATATCCACAGATTCGGTTTCTTTCAGTTAACTTCCCCGTAGCATTTATCCATATGCTGAGGAAATTACTATATCCCGCTGAATACCAGCAATCACCACACACACTTCCTCCTGTCAGTAGCTACTGCTAGTGCTACTGCTACTGACCATGCTACAGATATTAGTGCAAAAATATACAGCTCCTCTACCACAACCATCAGCAACAAGTGGACATGGAGAATTACATGAACTACATGTTGCTAAATACACGGCGGGGCATGAACAGAAGGGTAGCCATGGCAACATTGCGGCGGGGGCTGCTGGGGCTGCTCTTCTTCGCTGCTTTTGGTGTATTTTGGCGGAAGTTACAGCGCCACTTACAGTCCCGGCATATGTACTACAGCGTTTCCAGCGGCCTCGTTTGAACAGACACGTTAAATGAAACAAATGCATGTGAACGGAAGACTTTTTTAAATACGCATACTGTGCATAAACGCAAACGGTCCCGTGTGAGCGGGGCCTTAGACTAAAGTGAACTATCTAAACACTGAGAGAGTCCTTTACCTCACTGAGCTGACGTTATCTGACAGGAGAGGACTTTCCTTTCACTTAGTTGTAGAAACAGCTTCTAATATCGGTTAGCGCAGCAACAACAATCTTGCTCTCTCTCTCTCTCGCTCGCTCACTCGTGCCACACAGACACACACGGAGCCGAGCTTGAATGAAACACCCAGAAGTAGGCTACTTGTACTGTACTGTAGCAGCATATCATTTTCGAATCAATCATTTTTCAAATTACGAATTTCACATATATAAAAAAAACGGACAGACAGACAGACAGACAGACAGACAGACAGACAGACATATAGATAGATACTTCATTCATCCCAAATTGTGAAATGTGTGGAAACAAGTATAAACATAATAACATGAAATACAAATGAAAGCAATAGACAGGAATATATGCATATACAGTAGAAAGGACACAATGAATATTATAACATTTAATGTAGCCTTACTATGAAGGCTAACCTAAATACGATGCTTTTTTACAGATTACCTTATCTGCACTGGTAAGGTAAAACTAGGCCGATTAATAAAATGTGAAGTGCTTTGTAACTTTGACCCGCTTGACTGAATACACAAAAAACAATGAAGAAAGAGTTATCTCTGGGCTGCCAGCTGCTCCCCCGGGACCCGAAAGTGGCGTAGCCTGTACTTCAACATCAATGCATACGAATGTGCTCGATATATGCTGTATTGAACCAATAAACTAACACAAACTAACTGTATCACTATAACATGATGATGATGGTGATGAAGAATGCATCTAACGTTCCGCTGTTCATTATAATACAAAAACAGAGTATTAAACAAACCATCATGCTCTTACTTTGAAATCATGCGGAAATGTCGTCATCAGCAGGCCATCACGTGGTTTCCGAAAATAACCGAGTGACACGAGTAGATTTTTTGCCGAGACCGGCGGAAAGTATATCTCAAAATTCCGTGTGTGTAAAAAGACGATCCACAAGCAGAGATTTGAGATCCACAAGCGCATTTTTGGTTGACAAATACAAAATGGATTCACAAATGCCTGATCGAAAGTTGTCAATGTTAAAGAGATATTCACAGATCTTTTTTTTATTTGTGAAAATATTTAGCCTATTTGCAGATCCGTTTTACATTTGCACATTTATTTGTGAGTTTGCAAATCTTTTAAATGCATTTGTGGATGGTGTTTTACATTTACAAATCACATTTTTACACACAAATTATTTTTCTATTCACACAAATAATTATGAGACATATCTATGCCCATAGCCATACAGTTATTTTAGCCGGGCCGGCTAAAATGATTGGTCGTGCTTTTTACAGTACCACGGCTTCCACAGATGACATTTTTGTATGGATTTTTTGTCAAAGCACTTCAGATATTCATTGCTATCGGGATGTTAAGAGCATTCCATGGAATATAACAAAAAGTGTATCTCGAGCCGGTTTCTTAAACTTACTATACCCTACCTTTAACTTTATTATTTAGCAAAAAATTGTTTCCAATTAAACACATTTCTTTCCATTTGATGTCTCCATAAAGTGGAGCCCAGAAGAATCTTCCTCTGGGCAGAGTTACAGTTTGTATGCAGTTCCTTATGTATTTGTTTCAGCATTGTCTCTTGGTAATGTCCACTTCACCAAGGAATATACTGCTAGAAAGATTAAAGGGCCCATGTCATGGCCATTTCCACTGATCATAATTCCATTGTTGAGGTCTACTAGAATAGATTTATATTGTGCATTTTTCCAAACTCACATTGGTTTCTCATACAGCATCTCTGTAAACTACGTGTATTCACTGAATTTCACTCTCTGCCTTTAACGGCTCGTTGTAGCTCCAATAGCTCCAGCCCCCACCCTCCCTGTGAGCACAGAGTGCTCTGATTGGTCGGGACGTTGTGAATCGCGCTGAGCTCCGTGGAGGTGTGGTTTCCTTGTTTAGGATACACAGCCAAACACAGCCAAACTCATCCTGAGCACACACAAACTCACATCCGAAGTAAAAACAATAAGTGTGGCTTGATATTGAGTAAGAAAAAGGTTGATAAACGCTGTGAGAATGGGTCTGCAGAGAGAATGGGTCTGCAGAGAGAATGGGTCTGCGGAGAGCATTTGGCTGCGATCCCAACTGTCTGTTGTCAGCCTGCACAGGGAGGAGAAATCAGCAGAGCTGCGTGCACTGAGTGTGTGTGTGAGGAAGTCAGTGGATTGGTCAATTTGGACCAATCAGCGGGGGCTTAACGTAACGGCTCCGCGGACGTAACATAACGGCTCCACGGATTGGTCCATTTGGTTCCGGGTACCGCATCATGACGTTAAGCCGTACCCGGAAGAAACATTGGACAATGACGTATCAGTGACGAATCTCCAACGAGGCGTTTTGGGGAGGTATTTTCTGTGTTAGAGTTTTACTCTCGGGTGTACTTTGAGGGTTTTTGACTCTGCAGACCGTTTACATGTATAAAAACCTTCATAACACACAAGGGGACGGGTAATAACTGGAAAAGCATGACATGGGACCTTTAACACTGAAACCTCAGTATCTGAATA